GTTATTGATCGTTTTATGACTGATCTGCCATTAGTCATTAAAACTTAAAACCGAAAGAAATAAATAGTTTGCTGCATCGATAGTGAACAATAATTTTCCTGCTTAAAATGACATAATATTTTTATGTAAAAAAAAAACTTGTTTATGTGAATGTATGATAAAAGGGCTTATGCTCTTTGGAAAATGCAACAAATCTATTAAAAAAAAAATATTTTTCTATAAAAACTGAGTGTTTGTTTTACATGCATTCATTACATTGATTTGATTCCGTTCCGCTCCTCTCACGTTTAAGAAAAAGTTGAGAACTCAATATTTCGCCATTTGAAAATAAAGAAAAATTCCATATTAAAAATGTGCCTTTTAGTTTGAGAACGCTATCAACGGTTATTTGAGATGCATTTGAGAAGTAGCGCTTGGGATTTGAGACAAGAACTGATGCTCAAATGCATCTCAATAAAACAATCAACAAAAAATGTTTATTGGGTAACGACAACAAACAAAGACTGTAAATGTGAGCCACAACAACCTGAAGCCCTGGCAAGCCAACCGTTGCTGTGTGGAATAAAACCACTGACTCAAGCTGGGTTGACTTTTTATTATTATTGTTGTTGTTGTCGTCTTATACACTATACCACATTGTGTGTTGGATATAAAACGGGCTTGTATTGTTGTTGTAAATACATTGTTTTCGATATTGATCATGTTGCGTTGTTGGTGTTGCTGCTGCTGATGCTTTTTTTCTTTGTACTAGCTGCAACTTTTAGTTTCGCTTAAATTTTTATATTTTTTTAGCGATTTCCTTCGTCACAACTCGCCACAAGGTTGAGTGGTGTGCTCCTCTTTTGTGGAAATGAGGCGCAAGAATTGCTGGCTGCAAGTTGGGGCAAGTAAAAATGTGCAAACGGCATGCAAGCGCTGCATGTGTACGCCAACGTCACGCTAGCAAAAGAGACCATGACGTTCAATAGTTGGCGTGCACATAAGTACGCAGGCGCACAAGTTAAATAGTATGTATGTATGTATAATGTGGTTGGCTGACGTCGCATGCAATGAGACAAGCCATGTAGCTAAATAAAAAAAATGCCTGTTTGTAAGGCGGACGGATGGAAGTCTGTTGGTCAGCCGCAGCCCAGTCAGAAGTTGCAACAATGCAGGCAAATTGCTGTTGCCAACGCCAACTTTGTGTTGGCGATGGTTTGCGTTGGCTGCTTGCAGTGATTGGCGTAACAGTTCTGCAGGGCAGGCAGCAAAGTACCACATGCGTCGCACCGTTGCGGCTAGTGGGCACTTAGACAGCGTGGGCAATTGTAACTTGTTGATAGAAAAGGTATTGGGTTTTATTTAATTTTTTTCCTTCTACTTTTCTTACCAAGACAGAAACCTAATGTAGTGAGAAACAGGCTAAAAATTCTAAATTTTAAGGCTAGATTTCACTTCTGTTATAAGTTCCTAAATTTGTTGCCTAAAATATTAAGGCAACACCCATACTTTAACCCTCCAATTCTAATGGCTGTGTCAAAGTAAAAAGATACCTTATCTCTCACTAGATGGTATACCTAAGTACAATTACGTAGGATACACCAAAAAAGTGCACTGGGAATTGAAGAGTTGAGATTATTATGGAATCGAGCCAAATATGTAATACTTGAATGGTAGATACTTCAGATTGGGAGGGCTTATGTATAAACTGGGGTTACGATCGAATGACCTTTGCCGGTTCTGCGACGTCTCCAGTGAAACGCCACTCCACATCCTCATTGAGTGTGATGCAGTCAGCAGAAGACGTGAGAGGAGGTTAAGTTCCATGTGGCCACAGTTAGAGCACATTCACTCCTTATCCGCAAAAGAAGCTTTGGGACTTCCTGGAGGATCTTGGCTTGGAGGAAGTATTGTGAAGAGTTAAGGGCACAATAGATCATTAGGTCGCAGTGCATACCTCATAAATTATCTATCTATCTATCTCTACATACTTTGAACCCACCGGTCAGTTCAAAATCACAGAGCCATTCGCATTTCTGGCTAGTATATTTCAGGACGAATGGATAACGATTTAGCCAAAAGCTTGTGTGAGCAAATCCAATTTTTGGCAGCCAATATCAGTGACGCGGTTTTGCAGAATGACGATACGCGGTTTTGTACTTTAAACGACGATATACATATATGTACATCTGCTGAGGATTCAAGGCCAAAAAGCGGTAGTAGGTAATGAGAGATCATACGCTTAGGCAGAGAAGCAACGGCCGCAATTCCAATCTAAGGTGCTCTGTCCGGAAGATCCGAATGCAAATTAGGTGAGGAGTTTAGATAAAAAGTAGCCATGACCCATAGGGCTTTTCAGGCATAGTGGTTACTGCGTCGCTATATCCTCTTCGGGTTCGAGTTTCTGAATTATAAATGGCATTTAGTTTTATAAAATTGAGGATTGTCCTCAAACCTGATTTGTCTTCCTCAAAAATATTGTCCTTCTCTGTCCTCCTTTTGAGCAATTTTCAAAAAATTTCGTTCAGAACATTTTTCGGTCCTAGTATGGTTGTCGACAACGACGTCGATGTAATTTTTTCATCCAAAAATAGCCCACGTGAGTCCAACCCCAGCTACTCTGACCTCAGTTTTTTTGCGAAGAACACCTTTCCGCAAAAATACTGTGGTCAGCGTAGCTGTACTTGGACATACGAGGGCTATTTTGGGATGACAAAACGGCATCGACGTCGGCAACCATAATAGGGTCTATTATTTCCTAATCGTACGTAATCATTGCATTTAAAAGGAGTTTACATTGTTCAACTTTCAGTTAAATGATGTAAACTTTTGACTCAACTAACCGCCTGAGAAAGTTGAACAGTGTAAACGCATTTTAGCCTTAATCAATAATATTTAATACGGCTTTCCCACGGCACCCCAATTACGTAGTTCGCTCTCTCATTCGTAATTCGCACTCCAATTACCCTTAGAATTACGTAATTCGCCATACTAAATTTTGAGAGCGAATTACCTCATTTGTTGGTAATTCAGATCCAATTACCATGCGAATTACGAACGAATCGCTGTCGTCTCTAATTTTTATCCGAAATTTATCAAAACCAGTACACAAATCGAAAGTTTTTCTGTGTACGAAAAGTAAAGTTTATACGTGTGTACATCACCATTTTAATACGGAACCTTATAAATTTTTAGCAATTACTTACATTTTGCATAAATTTTGTAGCGTAGAGAAAAAAAAAACACAGAGATAGAGAAGTTTGAAATCGAACTAAGAATCTGCTCTTGGGAAAGGGGTAATTCGCGTTCGTAATTGGAGGATCGAACAAAGTAATTCACGGTAACGTAGGAAATACCCATTACAACACTGCAAGACCAGCTAACGACGAGTCTTCACATGCGAAAATTATTGCCTACCATATGTCATTTTGTTTGCCAGATATTTACAAGTTTTATCAGTGGCATTATATGTGTGTGGGGATGAAAGCTTTTGCAAGATGGCTTAACACAAGTATGTTCGTTGCATTGGAGCGGAAATATGCTTAAATTTTTTTAGAAAATGTGTTATTTCACATCCAAGTACATAATCAAAAATAACACAGGCTCAGCGGCGGATGCAGACTTTTTTTGGGGTGTTTTCCGCGAAATTTTCCACTTATTCTTATTACTGTAAACTGGTATTTCTTGTATATATATATATATTAGGGTGATCCAAAATAACTAAGAGAAAGAAATTCTCCCATTTGGGTAAATTTGTATTTCAATTTTTAAATTTTCTATGTAAATAACATTTAAGAAAAATTTGTTTGCAATAAAAATGTTATAACTTTTGAACCGTTAAAAGAAGTTATAAAAAAGGGACACACGTTTTTTCTAGGCATATTCTTGTAGGGCATTCAATTCTCTAAAAAAATTACCCTGAAGTTGGTTGTCTTGTAGATGATTAAGAGTATCAAATATGTTAATGATATTGCTGAACGAGGTATAGCGTTGATGCAAAATTATAATCGAACTTTGACGAAAGTCGAAGAACGAAACCACTTTATTTTGCAAGTAATACAATTTCTATTAAATAATTTAAAAATAAACAGTAACAACTATTTGATTTGCGGCGGTTTTATAATTATCCAACGCAGTGTACTATTAACTTGCTTGACTTGTGTTTAGAGAAACTTTGAATTGTTAATTTATTCGTTATTTAGGTGTTAAAATAAAAACAAAAATTTTTTGTGTTTACAATGTGGAGAATTTGTCCTCCTGGAATGTTAAAAAATTATGGTCACCTTAGTAACGTGAATATAAAGCAGAGGTCGACAAAGCGTACTCGTGCGAGCAGTACGCTCAACATACGTATTCTTACGCTCTTTAAATCAGTCGTTGTTCTGAGACAAGCAACATAGGCAGTGGCTATGCTGGTAATTTGCTTATGATACAGTAGACATACTTGGATATACATTTGAATAAAATGATTGAAAAAAATATTTTATGATTCCAAATGCGTTTGGTGATATGCAGTGCCTTTTGTGCCACATATCTATTAAAGGAACACGATGAATATAATTTCAGTAGACATTATAATATTTTTCATAGAGATTTTGCAAATATTCGAGGTGTACAGAATGATAATTTGTTTACTGAAAATAAAAAAATTTTTCTTCTATAGTTTAAGGAATAGATTTCCCAACTATAAGAAGAAAATAGGTAAGCATTAGTAAGGCACAAACTTCATTAAAAAGGACGTTGGAAAACTTAATTTCTTTAAAAATTGTTAAAAAAGGAGTACCTTTTTCAGATAGCATCTATATCAGAGAAATTTTGAAACCAGTTTTGCAGGAACTCAATTGCATGCATGATGTTATTATTGAAAATATTCCTTTGTCTCCTAGGAAATTAGCTCGTCGCACAGATGATATTGGTGCATTTATTGAATCTTTAATTTGATTAATTCATGCAAATTTATTGAGCCAAATTTTCTTAATCAGTACGAAGTTCCCGAGAAATTTGCTTCTAC